TTCCGCTTAAAAATTTTACTTTTCATAGTTAAACATTTATTTTAACTGCGCATATTGTAATTCATATATACTAGTTAGTAGTTTTTTGCAGTATTCTTGGAGTAGTTTTGCTTAAATAATCTTTATTTTAGTTTTACCTCATCTAGTATGCTTTTACAAACTTTCAAGGAAGAAACATAAAATCACGATTATTCTTCCTAGTTGAACTTGTCGAAAACTTGAAGAAAGTTTGAATATGTATTAGAATGAGAAAAAATCAAGTGTAGAAATGAATCATGAAATCTTATGTTTGGAATTGGAAATCTATGACCTATTTATGGATTTCTAATATTATACCACGAAAGATTTCAAACACTCATGAAAAGTTGAAAACTTTCCACCAAAGGCACCAGAAATTCAAATGAAAAAAGCAGCCCAACAGCTTAATTTTTTGAACCTTTCATACGTATGGTAGAAGCAAAAACATTTCAATTTCCTACAAACAAAGCCGTGCGTAAGCATGGCCATTTAGCCTATGCAACGCATGGTTAAGCAGAAACCACCCAATTTTGTTTTTTCAATTTTCATCATTAATTCATACAAATTTCAGCCAAAAACAGGCTGAAAATTTGAACAACAAATAATTATATGACATGAATGAATTTTACAGTTCTGTTGTGAATTCGTCCCTCTTTGTAAATCATCTTTTCTAGTATGGATGAAAAAGCACATGACAAACAGGCATAGTTTTGAAAGCTCTGATACTTCAAGTGGAGTAAAGCTTTTGAATGAAATCTATTCTTTCTAATCTATTGTTTTCTTGATTTTGAAAGAAACCTCTAGCTTTTGTTTACTTTTAAGTGTAAAAACGTTACCCAATCTAAATGTTTTAACACTTGGATTATCATAAAAAGACGCATGCAAGTGCCCAAATCTAAATTCTCCTAGGCAAAAACAACAATCCCGTATTAGAATCACTTGAAAAGCTAAAGAGCTACATCTTGTACAAATAAATCTTCTTCTGTTCATCTCTTAACTTTCCACTCGTCTATTATTTCTCTCTCAACATATACATACAAACCAAGTGAATAATCCTCCCCCCCAACTACTACGTACCGATCATTGGTGGATAATGAAATTACCAAGTTAGTAATCCTTCNCCCCCCCCCCCCCCCACACTACTACATACTGTACGTTGATGGATAATCAAATTGTCCATTAAATTTCGGAAAAAATGGGTCTTTCTTCTAACATCATTCAAGTTTTTGAATACTCCTTTTCAAACATAGATATTAAACATTGCTTCACGTGGTATAGTTCAATTTCACAAGATAAATCCTATTATAGAGTTAATCTAATCAAATTCATTTCATCCTCGTCAGAATCTAAGTCATAAAAACACATCTTTATATATATCCACAAGACTTCATAAAATCCAGTGTAGATAAAACTCTCTAGTCTTGAGCAATTATAAATATAGCACCTTACAAACACTTCGAGTACACTATTATTACATACCAAATATATTCTCCAACCCTTTGGCACCAGACTTTTTCGTTAGAGGATCCAACTCACAAATGGAAAGTAACGGCTAAATCCAAAAAATATGAAAAAGAGAATATCTCAACACTACTCAATTAAATCAAAGAAAAAAAGAAGAAGTAACTTCAAAGCTATAATGTTCACAAATAACATTCTTGACAGTATACAGTAAAGTAAAAGTTATCTTCAAACCTGAAGCTACTCAAAACAAATCTAAGCAGGTGTTATCTAGGTATGGTCGTGATTAAACTCACTAGATTCAAATAATGTAATCAAGCACGTATGCATCACAATCCCATACCTTGCCCTTTCATGCGCAAGTGACATTCCATTGTTTTTAACCAGCAAGTAATAGGAACAGGGCATCCCAGTTGCACTTCACCTAATCACCATGCTTCTGGTTATATTCTGTGTTTTGAATTCATAATGTATCCCCCAATCAGACAAATTCTATGACTATCTC